CGACCTTATCCAAACAACGAACAACCGCAACTTTCCCCGAACGCAAACAAACAGTTTTCCGTAGATAGAACACTTGCTATGAACCTGGCTTTCCTCTTCCCGACTCAGAGCTTATGCGTAGGTAGAAGTAAGTTTTTCACCTACTCTTTTCAACGGATTTGTCGATCAATTCAAGTGTTCTATTTTGACAGCGAGTTATATCTTGTTTATTTTTTCACTAACTTCTCCACAACGTCTTTCTTGAACTGCAAAGAAGGATTCTTCGAGTCTCCATGTTGTACAATACCCATGCGTTGACTATATAATGTGCGCCATAGATATGGTAATAAAAGAATTGTGCTACGGAAACCGTGGTTCCCACTAATACATGGTATTCACCCACGGTGACACGCGGAGTTTCTTGAGGAACTCCAATACGGCTTCTCAATGATTCTTCAGGAGCAGCAACAGTGGTGTATTTTTAAGCGCGGGCTCCCTCCTCCTGTATGGACTAAATCCAGCGATTGATCACACTGTGGTCCGGGAAACTCGTAGGAGGAAGCTGGGATAGAGAAGCAAACAGCATTTCTTTTTCTTTTTTTTCTTTTTTTTCTTTTCCAGCACCAGTCTTGATCATTTCCCATCTGTGAGCAAGTAACCGTGATCACATGAAAAGGATTTTTGACCCTTAGCTGCATCCTTCCAGGAAGACCATTCTTGAAGGGTTCGGATTAAATTTTGTACTTTTCTCGACCAAAATTAGCGATATCGTGCTGATGGTAGAGATTCTACCCCGAACCATCACGAAAGAGGGAAAATGGCTACGAGAGGCGATCTGACCATTCTCAGCAGCTTCAGTTCTAGTAGCGTTAAATATTACTATACCGTGGGATTCCACACTGAACACCCTTTGGTCAGAAAAAAGTGTGTCGGGTAGCCAGTGACATTTGTTTTTTATCTCGTCAAAAAGCTTGTAAGGCTTCCGAATCTTATCTGGATACAATTGTATACACCCGGAGCAGATTCATCTCATCGAAATAGGACATACAAACAAATCAGCAGGTAATTTTCTGCAGTGTTTTCTGCAGTGTGCGATGTTTCTGCAGTTTCTCACCGGACTCCTTCGCAAGCAATTACATTCGAAAAATGGGTCGTATGTGAGACAAGACGACCGTTTTGAGGTTTGTCGTTGACCTGTTTACGCATCGCAATTCAAGGGACTGTCATGTGGGAAATGTTGAAACAATCCCAGAAACGAATTCACCAGATGCGCGCAAAGTCGGTCGATGTCTGCGAGGCTCCACTGTTTTTTGCAATCTGACCAGTTGAGAAGAGCACCAAAGTAGATATGTGGGCTAAGGCATGTTAAAACATAAGGGAAGGAGCAGACTTTGAGAAACCCTCCGAGCAAGGAAATTGCTAACGTCCGAAAAGTTGTTACCATAATTATGGCTCACCCTGTGGAAATTTGCAAAACAAGGTGGAAAAGATGTGCGTGTACCACCTGGGACTCCTTCTTATGAATGGGCAGTAGACTCTTCGGATCCCTAGACCTTTATTAATTTCGGAACACCTCTTTCTTCCTTTTCGTCTCCATGACACGTTGATGTACAGAACACGCTGCGTTTGTGGTGCCACTTAATGACGATGATCTCATCTTGTGAATTTATAGCCTCGGTCATGTCTTTGGACACTTTCCTCTTTGCGAGTGCAGGGAGGACAACCTTCCCTTGGTTTGCAAGAAGGCCCACGGAGCCGTTTTTGTTCCCTACAGCTTAGAGTCAGACCAACTAAGGAGTACCAATTCTCACAGAAAACTTTTCGACCAGAATCCAACAAACCGCGACTATGTTTCCGCAAAACTTTTTTCACTATCATCGATATCCCAGAGTGGATCTCGATTTGACAGGTGTATCCACATTTGATGCACAGTTTGAACAATGCGATTCCAAGTTTGTGTTTCTTATTGAGACTATACTACTATATACGGCTAGGATTATACTGCTCGAAGTTTAAGCAACCTCGAAAAGATGCCAATATCAATAGCTACGCCCTTCCCAGGGACGGAATGACGGATAAAGGTAACGAATGTCGATACCTCTTTGAAATCATCCAGCACTGCTTTGAAAGGTCGATCAGTTCCACCCTATTGTTTGTTGTTACAGAAGCGCAGGTTGGACAATATAGCCTCGAATCTGCCCCTACATGGTCGACGAACAATTGTTTCCGACTTACAATTTTTTCGTTTGCCAGTGGTGAAGCAATGTTGGCACCTTGACTAGTGGCGTATAAAGGCACAGCTTGAAAATTGCACCAATTCTTGTTCATCGGTTTCCTGAACTTTGCCGGCTTGATGAATCCGTACCTATCAGAGAAATGCAGAAGAAATTGAAAGGTTCGCTGCAGGCAGTGTCATTGATTCATACAATAGCAGATTCCTGTTAAAGAAAAAATGAAGGAGACTTCTTCCCAGTCCTCATCAAAAACACGCCCTTCTGATATCTGACCATCGTACTTCACTGAATAATCTTCCAACTCGTCATTATCAAGCAATGGGCGCTGAAACTCTGAATTCATTCATAATCTGCGCGCTCTTTGGAAGGGCTTCGTGTTTACCGTACCACAGCCGATGCACCGGAAAAGGCGCGTGTCCTGGGAGAGGCATGAAACCTGAAACCTGCGCTCGTCGCAAATGTTTTAATCGAATAGAGAGGGACACCATTAGTTAGTGTACAAAAGATGGAGAAACATGGTTCCCTTTGTCCCTGAATCACACGAGCCAATGTAAGTCATCACCCGTGGCTTTTCAGTGATTAGTTATGGCTATTTGAATAGCGTTGATAAAGAGGTCACATATAATAAAAAGGAGATGTGAGACAGTCACCAGTGTATGAATATGAATAAATATTAAGGTAGAAAGTGAAGAAGGATGAATTAGTTGGAAAAACAATGACTATAAATGGGGCATATTCTCGCCAAAACTACTATAAATAAGTATAAGTACTCATTGAAGTGTATTGTGTCAACAAATATGACCAGAGCACTGAATCGGAGAGATATATTCAGCTGTAAATTACCAACTGATTATGATTACTTAGGTATGAAGTCAACGGACTTTTCCATCTCTTTAACGATGTAAACTATTGCGAATTTATAACCGATACATTTACTTCTATATACACATTTCACAATATTGATAGCAATGAACTCTTCGCTATATCCATTAGCGTTGAGTATATCAATCATACCTTTCAACTTAATATTAAACGCTTCCCTTGTGGAGCACCTTGTGTTGGCTATTGTAAGAGTTTCGGTGTATAAACTGAGACTTTATTATTATAAGATATGTTGGAGTCCTTATGAGGAAATCTCAGGGCTCTAAATGTAAAGTAGTCAATTTATTATACGAGGAATTAATGATGATGATCTATTCTCTTTTATGGTCGTACTTAGATCCAAGTCATTACCACTACTTTCATCGACGTTCGTTTTTTTAAATTCCAACTTTCCATCAAATACGCTTTCGGATGATTTCGTATTTCTTCTTTTTTCTGATTATGTACCACCAACATGTCGTCCATATGACTGAAGGGGGATGGATAACTTCGTACTATCAGACACACAAGTTGTTCTGTAGTCCCATGGCAGAGAGTGTATGGTTTGCCAATAATGAACTAATTTTTCCCCTTGCCTTATCCCTTACTTTCTTTATACACTGTTCTATTAGAGAAGCAGTAACTGTTTTCCAAAAAATACTCCGTCAAATATATCAAACTTGTTATAGGGTCCATTCTGTAAAACGTACCAGCCGACTGCTTTCGACTCATAAGAGAAGTCATGTCGTTGCGGCAGAAGGTCGTCGCAACGTGGCGGACCATCTACTTTCTGCTTCGCTGTTTGCGTGCTAACATCATCCGAAAATTCATCAAGAATAAAAGACTGCACGAGAATTGCAGACTACTGAAGGACTCTCGACAAGTACGAACAATCGAGCAACAACTTCTCAAGGTGATAATTCGATCGGAGCGTGACGTTATGTATTCATGTTTTAACAAGTGCATTGTAAGTGTTGTAAACGGATCGTGCTGGAGCGCCTTCGGACAAGATTAGGGGGTGAGTCGAATTAGGGGGTGAGTTGAAAAACATTTGGGATTTGATCCAATATGAGGCAAAGACAGGACTGAAAAACAAGTTCGATAGATTAGTAGATCAACAACGGGCTCGTGATGTGTAAGCAGTGTCTACCGTTTATCATAACAACGAGGTCCAACTAACTTCTAGTATAGTAGAGCACCTATCCAACCCTCAGGACACGGTTTTGGTCAACATACCCTTTCCAAAGAAGCGCTGTCACTGTTGAAATTAAGGTCTAGCTCTGCACCAGCTCAATCTATCACCCCAGAGGTCGTGCGCAAGGTCGTGGGTAACCTACAGATCCTTCAAGATCGCCTCAGATGTAGGGCCAACAGCACACTGCGGGAAGCAGGCGCGGGAGATCAGGCAGATAGGGTGTTTCCTGTTCTGCCCAACGTACTATGTTCAACCTAACTCCTTCACAGAGGTAGGGCTTCGAAAAATTAAGTAGTCGATTAGAAGCTGGGGAGGTCCGTCTGTCTGTGAGCGATAAAGGAGGGGAATTCGTGGTCATCCTACAAGAGCTTGAGCTTAACGCAGTTACATCTTCAGGACAAAACACTCATTGCAGATCTACTTAAAAAGAATACCTTAGACAGTGTAGAAAACTGAACAAAGTCTGGCGTTGCGTAGCGAAGGTCGCTGGACTGCTGAATTCCACGATCAATCGCCTGAAGAGTGATCTGCCGCTGTGCCGTGTTTTGTACACTGTTATCAAGACACATAAGATCATCTCTGCAGACCTGAGCTTGGATGACCCTTCAGTGTTCAAAATCAGACCCATTACCAGTAATGTCGGGGGACCCACAGTTAAAACTTCATGGTTTCTAAATGTAATTCTGCAACAAATACTCCACTAGGTACCCGCCCACCTTACCAACACAAGTATGCTACTCGAACAACTGTTAAATGCAGATCTTCGAGGAGACGTGGTAGCGGAATCGTTCAACAGTACGTCTCTCTACACGATTGTGTCGAATGAGGCTGCCTTTGAGGCCACATACGAATTGCTAAGGGATCACGAATGCATTCTCAGATTGTACTGTTCCTCAGTCTCCCAGATGATGACTGTTTGAAAAAGTGCTTAAATTGCTTGTTTTTCAGGTGGTCCGGCGTTTACTATGAGCAGATTAGGGGTTTGGCTATGGCCCAACGGATAGCACCAGCATTGGCAATAGCCTACATGTCAAAAGTTGAGGAACCTATTCTAAACCACAGGCCAGTTCTGTACACTCGCTATACTGATGACTGAATGTTCATATCCTCCACCCAAGAAGAGACGGACATATGTTTCGACATTCTCAATAAACAGGCAGATCATATCAAATTCACATGTGAAAGACCAGCAGAGAACTGGCTACCACTCCTCAACATCCAAATCCAACAATCTATTCGATCAGAAGCAGAGGATCTTTTAAAAGTCTCCTACACCACTGAGCTGTTCTATGAATAAGAAGATTTGTGCTGATATTGATGGCCATCTCAAAAATTTAGTGCGAACCGTGAACGACGACTTGCTATGAAAGCCTCTATGAAAAAACTTCATGCGTTCATTCATGGTAAATTAAAACTCGAGGCTAGCTTACCCATTCTTTCTGATATAAAGGGTGTCTGCTGCTTTTCTGATACCGATAAAACTTAGGCTCCTGGTGATTTTTTGTTAATGTTTTCAACAGTGTTTGTAATTTTAACGACTCTTCATACGACTACGTGCTACTTTGGCCTGCCTCACGTGGCTTGGACAGTATCTACTTCCATCCTTTGGAAATTTTCAACATATTAAAAAACTTAAGTCTTCAACTTCTGAGCAATATGATGGCATACCTCCTATTGTCTTCAAGAAGTGTGCTGCCTCGCTTTAAAATCCCCTGGCACTCATTTTCAATGTATCGTTCATGCTAGGTGAAGTTCCTGGAATTCAGAAAGATGCTCTTGCTACGGGAATTCCTAAAAAGGATGGTGCCCGTTCTGTGTTTGACTTTCGTCCAATCAGTATCACGTCTACGCCTGTCAAAGTCATGGAAAGTTATTCGAAGAAAGATTCCGTTGGATACTCAAATCTAACCTTTTACCGAGAGAGCAGCATGGTTTCCTGCCAGGGATGTCAACGACTACAAATCTGGTAGATAGTCTGTTTGATTGGAACATTGCCCTTAGGCAGGGATGTCATATATATGGATCTCTCCAAAGCCTTCGATAAGGGTAATTATGTCAAACTACTTTAAAAACGTAGATCTATTGGAATTGGACCTAAACTTATGAAGTGGTTTGAATCATATACATATATTTAAAATGCAGATAACCGTAAGAGTAGCAAGGGAGTTTTTTGACCGACACTGCTGCACAAGTGGAGTGCCTCAAGGCGGAGTGCTTTCTCCTTTACTGTTCCTTAACTATACCACATAACTTTAGTTGCCGCTCTAAAAACCTCTGAACACGTAAAAGTCCAACTGTATGCCGACGACGTCAAGATATATGGTATTTACAATTCCAATAACAGAGTTGAAGTGCACTGTGCTCTTAATCGGTCAATTGATAACTTGTTGTGCTGGACTGCGAAATTTGATCTGGATGTCAATCCATCGAAAACTTTTGTTTTTCATTTGGGAGATTTACCGCCCGGTGAATATAAAATCAATGTTTCTTCTGAATATCTCCAATTCTGTTAAGGATCTTGGTATCCTGGTGGATTCGAATCGTAAATTTTCTGAGCACATTGATTTTGTCGTTAATAAGGCCTTCGGAGCGCTTTTCTCCCTTTTTCGAACTACTCAAGTGACAGATTCTAAAGTACTACTTCGTTTATACAGTGCATATGTGTTACCGCACCTTGAATACTGTTCCCAGATTTGGAGCCCATTGTACAAAAAGGATGTCATCAAACTTGAAAAAGTTCAAAGAATGTTCACTAAACTCTTGTTCCGCCGAGTATACCCAGATTTATCCGGAAGTAGTTTGCCAAGTTATGGAGAACGTTTGCGGCGCCTAAACATGATGACTTTGAAAAAGAGACGTGTCATAGCGGACCTGGTCTTTTGCTTTCGGCTCTTACGTTTGGAATTGAGATTAACAGCAAGTAAGTACTGGATCTTTAGGCCGACTAGTGTAAGATCAGGTGGTTTCAATCTGCACTATAGGAGTTTGGGTAGGAGTAATCGTGGTCGCTTGCACAATTTTGTACTATATCGCGGTGCAAGATGGATGCAGATGTTACCTTCCAAAGGGCTTTCTGCTGTAAATGGTCAAGTGCTCAGAAATAGATTAAAAAATAAATTTACTGGTACTGTTGGGTTTTGAGGACTCCTCTTCGTACTTTGATGTATACGCTATTTCAGTTATTTTTTCTTCTTGAAGGGTATTCCATCTCAGAAGACTTCCTGCCCTGCATGACCTGTGAAGATGAAATATGCTAATGAAATGAAAAATGATAATAACGCTAACGATTAGTGATAAAACTGTTTCACACACTAGATGTCAAAGTGCATCTTATCATCTCATTTTCTTCTATTTTATGCTGGATGTTATGTGGCTAGGAAACTTCTCCCTGGGCAGCTTTGTAATCACCGCCTCTCCACTCTCGATCGCTTTGGCGGTTACCGTCTCTCTTTTTACACCTATCTGCGATGGTTTGATGTTCGAGTGAATAGTTGAGCATTCCTTCCTGCCCACTAATGATGTTCGAGCCACCAATGGCATCAATGAAAGCAAACTATCTTTCATTTCATTTCATTCCAATACTATTTACATGCAAGTATGACATCTAATGTGTGAAGCACTTTAATTGCACGGTTTCAGTTTTGATGGCTTTTCTGTGTTTCTGTGTATTGTTTCTCTGTGAGGCTTTTCTAGTGGCGCACCTTTGTGCATAATAAACAAATGAATAAATCAGATCTGTGTGCGGTGGCTAACTTGAATTGGGACATTATCCTATATTAATACGAGGTTCTGCTGCCGATTCTGACGCCAGAAAGAAGAAGAGCATTGCGCATAACTCGATAACCGGAAGAGTTGAGCTTCGGAACAGAACATAAACGGAAAATGTCGTTCCGTTGATTATCGATTTCCACCAAATTCCCTGCGCCGGTAACATCTCCACTCGTCCATGTGCGAGCCAAAGTGGTAAAGTCGATGCTCTTCACTCGAGGGACACGAGGCAATAGCATTCCTTTCGTTTAGAGCGTTGTTGAAGAGAACTGGTCATCGCACGGAGACGGGGTCTTAGTGTGCGTTTGACGTTCCGAGGTATATATTTAGTAATCGTCCTGGTCCAACGGTCATCACTATGTATATCTCATGGCGTCCCTGTGGCGAGCTAGAGCGGTGGACGTCTGAATTAGGTTCTATAACGACCCATAGAAAAATGGGTGAACTTCGCCCACCGGAGAGCCTCTTTCAATTTTCGTGAGAAGTTACATAGTCACGATGAGGACCGTGAAATGCCACGTGGGCGAGCAACTTTATTGCCTTTGTTCTGCCTACTGATAGATCATCAACATTATTATTGAGGGTGGGGTAGCGATGCCCTGTCGTTGTTGTCTTGCTTGCTTGCTGTCTCGTTAAGCTTTGTCAGCACCATATGGGGCAAGACGGATAAATGCTCTACGTTTGTGAAACTAAGAAGCCCGTAGTTGATTGTTTTGTCTTCTGCCTGATGAACGAAACGATAGCTGGATTTGCTAAGTGAGTCAAAGCAGTGAAACAAAATGTACTTTGTCTTTGGTTTTCCAAGGAGCTCTTGTGAATGCTCTTATTACAGTTGAACGTTGGTGTTCTAATTTGCACTCGTATCCCAATGGCATACACCGAATCTCGGGGGACTATGCTGCACAGACGAGATCGGTTTTTTAACACTATAATCTTTTACCATACGCTATATGAATACCATTTCTTTTTATTGGAAGCAGCTGTATATGGGGACTGTTCACCTCCAACTAGAGGTACCATTTCCCAAGAATACGGTTCCATTGGCGTACATCAAAGCAAGTTCAACAACGCTTCCTCTGCCGCACGAGTCAGATGATTAATCACGTGGCCAAGGAAAGGAGCAAGAAAGAAAATCGGTGCAGAAGGCGTCGATTCGAGGAGAAACCCGTAAAGTGATTTTATAATATTGAGTAGCCTTTCAAGAACGGAGCACAGCGGTGTGAAATTCCGAGAAACTTTCAGTGACGAAAAAATGAGATTCAGGTTCATGCGTTCTGAAGGAATAACTGAAGCTTATAGCTTATGTTCTAGCCTGATCAAGAATTTATATTTTATCCTCTATATAAAGCGCTAACTTTGCTATCTGCTTGTATGCCCATTTGTGTGTCCTCGCAAAAGTCACCTAGGCACGATCAAGGGCGTGAAGATCACAAGAGCGCGGTGAGAAAACAGTTATGAAATGAAAAGTCAACCGATGCTCTTTATAGTGATCCGTTGATTCGCTCTCCAACACGCCTCCGACGACGCATTACAATCAAACCCCTATTAACTAGAGGAGGTTAGAATGGAAACAATGTCACGATCACCTACTAATGTCAAGAGATCAATGCCCACAAAGCGGCATCAGATCGTTCAAATTGGGGGATATCACCTAATGGGAAAACGGTTATGGAATGGGAAGTCAACCGATACTGTCTATATTGGTCCTCTAACATGGCGTAGGTAGGTGGTAGTGGGAATGGCATGGTGCACGTATTAGTGTGCATAGCCCAACTGGTATGTTTAGATAACTTTAACGGCACTTCTGCATGTCCACACGGCTAAGAATGGGCCCCACGCTTGGAGCCTGGCAAGCTACACGGGGACATTCACACGCCAAAAACAGTAATAAAAGTGGGCCTCATTCCTCTGAAGCTGAAGTGGCCCCCGATATGGCGGCATGGAGGCCAATACCGCTTGGCAGAGGCTGCTAAAATCTCAGGGCCACGAAAGGCCGCCTAACAGGAGGACTAAGTTGGCGATCTGTACTTTCAATGCACGAACGCTTGCATCGGAAGCGTGCATCAAAGATCTGATGATGCAGACCAGGAAGATCAAGTACGACGTCATCGGAATGACCGAGACGAGAAGGCACCGCCGGTTGCATGCCACTTTTGAAACTGGAGAAGAGCTGTTCATTGGAATACGCGACAGCAGAGGTCGGCGGTGTAGGTGTCCTGGTCAACACGCACTTGGCCATGAACATCGATCCGTACGAAAGCTTGATAACCCGAATCGGACGTTTCCGATTGGGAAGACGTGGCCCAACCTCCGCTCTAACAGTCTTCGTTATTTACGCGCCAACATTAAGCTACGATGAAGAAGAGCTGGAGGCGTTCTATATGGATCTGGAGAAGCTCTACAAAGAAGATCATACTTTCTTCAAGGTCATCGTCGGTGAATTCAACGCCAAGATCGGCCCCAGAAGAACGGCTGAAGGGCTCCACATCGGGACTCACGGAATGGAAAGGAATGAGCAGGGTGAAAGACTGTCCGTGTTTATCAGGTCCACCTACACTATCCATGGTAGCTCGCAATTCCAGCACTCTCATTTACTATGGACATGGGAGTCACCTGGTGGACAGTTCCATATCGAAACAGATCACACCATCGTCAATCGAAAGTTTTGCCTGACTGTCGTCGCTGTTTTTTTTGTTGTTTGTTGTTTTTTCCTAAGTTCTACACGGGATCAGACTACCGTCTACTCCACGCGATTCCTCTTTTCGGTGCGTGGAGAGAGAGCTGCGAACTTCAGGAAACGAGGCCCCGAAACTGATGTCAACTGGAATCACTTCGCTTCATTGGCGAGTTTGTGGGAAGATTCCGTCAGCGATAACATCGATGAAAAATAAGACCGGCTCGTTGAACATCTTCACGATTGCGCTTGGAAAGCAGAGAGTCTACAAGTAACCAAGAGACGACTCTCTTCGAAGACTCTCGAGCTGATACGCCAGCGTGGAATCGCGCGAGCTCAGGCAACAACAGCTAACATCCGAACTTGCGAAGCTATGCAGAGAATTGATGGGGAGATCTGAAAAAGAGAAGAGCAGCAGTTTCGACTGAAGCCGCGGAGGTTGTGAAGAGTATTCGAAAGGCCCGCCGGCTTTTCGCCAATTATAAGACCAAAACGACTCCCCTTCATCGTCCTGACGGGACTGTTACTGTATCCCAAAGGGCAATGGGGAAGGTTAACTGCGAATTCCACTCAGATCTCTTCGACAGCCACGTCTACCTGCCTACCTACCACCTTAGGCGAGACGGATACGTCGTCCCTTCAGCTCTCCCTTTCGAAATTCAACATGCCATCACATCGATGAGGAATGGTACAGCATCCGGTCCCAACAGGATCGAAGCGGAACATTTAAAAAGCCTCTCGCCTGTCATTGTCAAAATCAGATCCATAATCCGGCTTTTCACGCGGTACCTGTCCGAATACAAAGTGCCCATTTCGTGGAAACTTAGCAAGACCGTGTTGCTGCACTAAAAGGGAGATCCAGACGACATTGGCGATTATCGCCCAGTCTGCCTGCTGTTTGTAATCTAGATACTTTTCACACGAGTCATCTTTAACAGAATGGCAGTTTATTAGATGAAGAACAGCCATGCGAGCAAGCAGGGTTTCGGAATTGTTCAGTACAGTCGGTCACATCCACACCATTACAAGACTCATTGAAGTATCGCGGGAGTTCAAGATGCCATTATGTCTTACGCTCATCGATTTGAAAGAAAGCCTTTGATACCGTCGAGACAGAAGCGTTAAACAGAGCCCGGGGCAACCATGGTGTTCCTACTCGGTATGTGAAGATGCTTCGTGAGCTCTACAACAACTTCACGACCACGATCTCGTTATTCTAAAAAAATGTCATCATCAACCTGAAGAGAGATTTCAACAGGGCGATATCATTGCACCCAAACTTTTCCGTGCCACTGTCAGAACATCGTGCGTCATATGGAATGGAAAAGCATGAGAGCGACGGTCGACGGCCGCTACTCACATCATCTCCGCTTTGCAGATGACATCGTGCCTATAACACCGAACATCAAGCAGGCGGAACAAATGCTGGCTGAATTCGACAACGCTTGTGGAGAGATCGGATTACGACTGAACCTAACGAAGGCGGAGTTCATGCGAAACGTAATGGTACCTGATGTTCCTTTCACACTGAAAAGAACGAATATCTCTGAATGCTCTAGCCATATGTATCTAGGTAGGGAAGTTAATATGATGAATAACCTAACACCGGAGCTGAGCAGACGGAAAGGCGCGGTTTGGGGAGCATTTGAGAGCATCGAAGGAGTAGTGAAGAAGACGAGAAAGATCCGGCTCTACGTTCACTTTTTCGTCACTGCTGCCCCTCCTGCTTTGATATACGCCTCAGAGACGTGGACTCTACGAAAGCAGTACGAGCATGCAGTTAGCGTCATTCAACGCGCTGTGGAAAGGACGATGCTCGAAATTTCCCTATACACGCAAGTGCAGAAGGGAATCCGGAGTTCCGAGCCCAGTCGACGGACAAAGATCAGGGATAAAATGACCGTTGGACCAGGGCTGTTAGACTGGGTCCCTCGGGACGTCAAACGAACACGAGGGCCACCGCCGCCTCAAAGGTCGGACCTCCTCACGAAGGCTTTGAGCGAAAGAGATGTTTCACCCCCTGCCTCTCGAGCGAGTACGATTCACTAGACTACTCTGACTCGCGACAGGGACGAATGGAGACGTAACTGGCGCCTGCTCGAGGAAATCGACGATCAAATGGACAACAGGCAATAACAGGTAACAGGTAATACGGGTAATACGGATAGTGATTGTTCGCAAAGAAATTGCTACGAATACACTTGATAAAGCGTATAACTTCTTCCTGGATACCAAAAATCCCGTTCAAAAAACAAGAAATTGTACACCCTCTGTCAAAAAAAAAATTCGGCCGTTCTTGTGGACGATAAGTTTGCCTCTTTACCACAGGCATACCAACCTATGGAGGGGTTCCTCTTTTTGAATATAACCACAGTATTTTTCGCAATTTTTCGGGTAAATAAGTCGCTGCCAGTTAATTCATTGCATGAACAAATTCTTTTTTTTTTTCAAAAAAATGGTATCGAATTGACAATTCCAACCTGAAGACTGCTACGGTCTACTTTAACTCAGTTTCCATTGGGAGATGTACTCCACAATACTGAAAGATCAGCATGGGCAGTGAACCAACTTTACGTTGCGAAATGCAAATCGCTAAATTATTCGAACCAAAATACCCTCTTACAGAAACATGTTGATCAACCTCCAGTTGAGAGCCAGTAAACGAGTAAAATCTGAAACTGAAGAAAACCAGATACAACTGAATATATTCCATAAGAATTACTTGCTATTTGCACAGAAACACTTGCAATCCTCCACAGAGACGTCATGTTCCAGACCCCCTGCGACGTTCGTCATCATGTAGCCAGAGATTTCTTCAAAGCAACCGTCATTTACTGAAAAAGTAATCATCGTGGATGACATGACATTACTACTACCGTTACTACCGTGATCATTAGAGAAAGAGAAATCGACACATCGAAAATGCTCAAGTAGAAAATTCTACAACATATTGAGTTACAAGCCCTCGAGCCACGGTTTTATCACGAGGCGAGGTGGTGAGTAATGATTGTTCTCGTGCGATGAAAGATTCATTGAATTCTTGGAAAGCAATGTTCCGTCAGGAATTCCTTTTTTTCAAGAGTGCAGCGCTGAACGCGAGCTTACACATTAACGATTATCTACTATAGAAAAATTTGAAGGACCTTAAGAAGCTTACAATTCTCGGACAGCGCCCAATACGGAAAGATGCGAACCTCTACTTTCACGAACACAGGTGACTAAAATTTCGAAATTTTCCTAGAGTAATTCAGTACATACCAATTTTTAGAGCAGAGCTTTCGGTAGCATTTTCACGACCTCTCAATCGCATTGAACTCCCAACTACTTCTACACCAGAAGGTTCTATCTTTTCACGTGCTTTTGCTCTGGTTGTGCTGGTTTTGGTGACTTCGGCTGGGCTTGTCGGTTCTGTTGTCTCCGCACTTCCACTCTCTGCACTTGTGGGCTCGTTCAGGATACTTTTTTTGGATGTTGTCGGATCTGTTGACGTTGTAGCAAGAGATTGCTGGCTTCTGATGGCAGATGTCCTCAGGAAGCTCCAGGATATGGTTGGTACTTCTGAATCGAGCACTGTTCAATGGCTAGCATCATGCAATATGGCCCTGCCAGTCCTGAGGTCCCAACACCGATTACCTCTTGCATGGGGTCTTATTAGAAACCAATCACCTGCGTTTTGACCTCGATACGTCGTGAGCGGAGGCCGATCTGTTGTGCTCATAGTTCGGGCTCGAGCTAAAATGATTTCATGTTGAGGATGTTGACACATATACAATTTCTCAAGATTAATGTTATTGCTTATTTATTAATATAATCAAAAAACTTTCCAGTACTTAAATTTTACTTTTAACACCATACCCAGGAGGTGCTTGCCACTTCTAGAAAATTGAGCTGTTAATTGCACCAATGATCATTCAGAAGCTGTGTTATAAGTGGGAGTTATATGTCGGATTTACCTGGTGTTTCCCTTGGAGATTTAGAAGCGCCCATATTACGACACACCTTAGAAGCGATGTCGATGAGCACTGAAAACTACCAAACAAATTTGAAGAAAGTGGGTGAGCATACCAATATAAGATATGGATAAGGATACCCTGCACATCACAAGTTATATACTGGTAAATAGAGCTTTTATCCTCGATCAAATCATATCTTCCTAGGTGGGAGTCTTTGTTGAGAACGCACTCTCCGCTGGGGTACCATTGCAGTGATTGGCATCGATGTAGACGAAAGGCCGAGAACGTGTCCGCGCAAAGGCATCTACGAATGATAGAACAAATATTCAACTATGTAAATAAAATTTACTAAAACTCTCTAAATATACATTAGATGGTTCAATGCCGTCAACAGGATTTTTGCAAAGCATGTCTATTGCCTATTGTGTATTCCGTAACGTCACAACAGCAACAAGAAAGTGCCGTATTGCGCTCAAACACCAAGACAAAAACTAGCTCTCCTAGTTCAGTAAAGCAGGCTTCTGCTTGAAACTTTTTCGGTGCATGAAATATTCATGAGTAGCGCGCTAGGCTGCGGTGCGAGATTGGGATCATTTTAGGTAGGTAGCCATGCTACTCTGGAATGGGCAGTGACCTCACAGAAGGTGCTCTTCATCTGCTATTCATTTGTGCGATTGAACGTGTTTTGCCAAAGCAACATGCAGCATACTGTGTAGCGCTCACACGACCGGACTGAATAAGTAGACGTGGAAACGTCTTCAGAGAAGGAGGCTGTGTAACTTAACCCAGCACAGCAGAAAAGTCCCTCAAATCAACCAAGTTTCAGCGCCAGTACATGTTTTTATGCTGACATCTTATCTGAAGAGGATAATGAATAAAGTTTCTGTCTTCAATCAATCCTACTCTTGGTGATGGAGACGCCACTTGCCACTTTCCCAATTTACTCAACTCATCTCAAAATTGGTGCTTTAGCTTATAGCAAGTGCCCTTAAAAGGAAGCCCTGTGAACTTCGCATGAGTCAGGATTACCCAATAATAAGCAAGACAGGGCTTTTATTCGCTCAGACTGAGCCAGATACCAACTGATCGACTCCAAAGCATGAGAGCTTGGCTGGGCTATGCGAGAATCGATCCGGGTCTCGATCCTAAAACCAGGTTTTTTTTGCTAGTGCGCCACTTGTCTCTGCGCCATACCCTTCAGTAACATGTTTTATCTCGTCATTGGTATGAATAGCGGTAGTGAACCAAAGTGCTTCAGAAGAACATAGCTATGAAAGAATCAGAAAGCGCGAACTGTAAGAACCTGCATTCATCGATAGACGAGGTTGTGTGGCGTTCAAAAAAACCGCCCAGTAGATACCTTCTCTCGATTGTCCGGAAGCAGACTCGGGATCGACCTGAAAGTCATAAAGTGATTAGAGGCTGAAAGGGTACAGAAAGATAAGGAGAAGGTGAGTGATATTTTATCGACCGCCATAAACCTCAAATTCTGCAAGAGAAGAATGATTCGAAAGAAATGAAGCTCATACTGCGTTTTCAACGCGTGGCGAAACTTCCTTGTCATAACCAGAACAGATGCAATTCATTTTAGGCACACGAGCATCAGTGATTGATACAAGTATGTCCAACTTAAACTATATCTATCCATACCACCTTGTATGTGAACAATACATGTGAATTGGTACCACCTGTAGCTCCTGGCTTTCCGGGTGATCTTTGGTTTCCTGTGTGGGCACTAGTAATGCCTCCATTCTTCCCTGTCTCGAGTCATTGATGTCCAGCAGACCTAGTCATTGATGTCCAGCAGACCCATGGCCGTTCTATTGTTTGTTAGACGTCGCCCTGACGCAAGACCGACAGAAAATTGCATGGCGTGCCTAGCTCATCTGATCCTCGATTTTCTGGCGCAGGTAGCGGCATCCTCATTAGTTGACAGAGCTTGAACATTCGGATTCCCTTTTACACTTGCGTGTACGTGGAACTTTCGAGAATCATTCCCACAGCGCGTTGAATAACGCTAACTGCATGTCTCTTGAGATGTTTTAAAGCCTTAAGGCTTTAAAACATCTCAAGAGACAAGTTCAGCTATGCCGAAACTAGGAGAAAGTCGAACATGGTCCATGCTAACTGCATGCTCATCTTGCTTCCGTAGAGTTCAAGTCTCTGAGGCGTATGTCAAAGCAGGAAGGGCCGCATTATCGAAGAGGTATCGAATGCTCCCCTCGCCTCCTTTCTTCTGCTCTTAGCTAGGTAGCATCATTAGCATCATGTTGACATCTCGACGCAGACACAAGTAGCTAGAGCATTCAGAGATATTCACGTTGAGCGTGAGGGAGGCATTAGGTACCAATTGCCTCCGCTAAGTTCACTCCCAAAACGATCGTTCCACAAGCGCTGTCAAAATCGGCCAGCACTCGTACCACCTGCTCGATGTTTAGTGGCATGAGCACAATGTCGTCTGCAACGCGGAGGTTATGTGAGTAGCGGTCGTCAGCCTTCACTCCCAAGTCACGCCATTCCAAATGACGCATGATCTTTCCGAAAGCGGCACTGAGAAGTTTGGTCAAAAGTAGGAACACTCTTGTGCCCAGGGCTCCAACTACAGCTTCTGTCTCAATTTATCAAAGGCCCTTCTCGAATCGATGAGCGACAAACAAAACAGTACCTTGTGGTCTCACGATACTCCAATGAGCCTTATAGCAGTAAGGATGTGATCGATTGTACTGAACCCTCTTTGGACTTCTTCTTACCCGCATGGCTGTCCTTCATGTATTTTGTATTAATATTTTGCCAATACTGTTGAGGATGACGCATGTAGAAAGTTTGTAGATCACAGAGAGCAGGCAGACTGAGCGACAGTTGCCAGTATGGTCGGGATCTCCACTCTTATACAGCAACGCAGTCCTGCTAGTTTTGCTCGACGTGGGCACCTTATATTCCAAGAGTTACCACTTGAAGAGCCTCGCCAAACTTCCGATGACTGCTATAACAGTCTTTAGATTTAGTTCTGGTTTGATACTATTGGAACCCGCCGGTTGCTAGACGGGGAGCTGAAGGGACGACAAATCCGACTTGCTAGGACGACAGGTAGGCAGGTACACTTGGCTGTCGGCGAGATCCGGGTAAAATCGTGAATGATCTTCTCTATTGCCCTTGGAGGTGCAGTAATTGTTCCTCAGGACAAGAAGGGAAGTCATCATGGTCTTGTAATGCTCGACGGAACCGTCGTGAACCTTATAGATTTTATCGAGAACGGAATTTCCCCTAAAACTCGAAAGGGAGGCGAGGTGGATACAGATGGTACCGACCTTGCTAAACCTCGCTTTCTTTTGAAAAAAAATCTAGCGCGGAGGAGCGATGGTTCGAGCCCGTGTAGAACATCTCACCAGCAGCGACGTTAGTCAGGTAAAACACCCGTTTGAAGGCGATGTCTATTTCATTATGCAACTGCCTACTAAGTGACTCAAATGCCCATCGCAAATGGGAAGGCTTTGGAAAATCGAACTACCATGGACGGTTTGAGTCGATAGATGGACTGGGACAGTCCTTCACATTTGTCATTCCGTTCCATTCCATGAGTCTCTATATTAAGATCTTCGGCCATCCTTCTAGAATCATTCTTGACCTTGATTACCAGCAGTGACCTCGAAATAAGCATCTCTATTTCTGCCTCTCCGTAAATCTCTCCCACGTGCATGTGAAACTATTCCAGTTCTATTTCTTAGTGCCTTAATGTTGGTGCGTAGGCAACGAAGTTAGATTGGAGGTTGAGCCACATCTTCTCATACTAATCGTTTCATGGCCAGGTCCGCATTGACAGAACACCAACACCGCCGACCTTCTGCCGGCGCATGCTCCAAGGAAGTACTCCCTATACCCCTAAATCCGTAAAGAAGCGGGCGACGCCTCATCTCGTTCATTCCGGTTCTTGACCTTCCTAGGTTGCATCAAAAGATCTTCGATACTTCTTCTAATGCAAGTGCTCGCGCGTTGGGATCGCAGATCGATGTTGTCGTTGAAGGAATCTCCCTAGGAACTCGCGAGGAAGTGAGGTTGTTTCACTCAATGACGGTCTTCGATTGTCGTCTCCTGAATTTCGTAGCTTCCTTTCCACACAGTGGAAAACAATATCTCGCTCGGATAGATGGTGCAATCCCATGTAGAACTTCAAAGCAACAGCGACTTCAGTCATACAAAAATTTCGACTAAGCGTGATGTGATCTATTTCATTATGGAACCTAAAGCATAAAAGGCGACTTCAAGACCTCCGCGAAATAGAGGGCTTCCGAAACTACGAACCATTATGATGTTGCCAGTCGACGGAGAAAATTCGGACAATCTCCTACCCTATTCTACCATTCGTTTCTGTGAGTCTTTATGTGAGGCTTTTAGTCCGCGCTTCAGAACATTCTGGGCGCTGAATCGCTAACAATAACCATTACTATCGTCTTCTCTGTAGATCTTTTTCAGGCCCGGATGAAACGCATACAGCTACTCTTTTTCGTAGCTTGATATTAGAGCATAGGCAATGAGATTATTAGAGCTGAGGCTGAGCCACATTCTCTCAATCGCACACGGCGAATTCGTGTTGTTGAGCTTTTATACGAGCCTATGCTCATGGCAAAGGGCGTGTTGACGAGGATACCTGTTGTCGCATGACTCAAGGGGCAATTCTTCTCCAACTTCGGAAACGTTGTGCAGCGAATGATGTCGTACATGATCTTCCTGGCAATGCACCTCTATGATCCAGAGATTTTGGTGGTCTCTTTCCACTACTACTCCTACTATCCTACTTGACGCTTCCATATTGGAAGCTCCCTTGGACTTGAAAAAAAACGTGGTACATGTGTACTGCTTTTATGGTATAGCTCATATGCAGGATACCTACCACGCACGCATACCCGCCACACACCGTGCATGGATACACCAGCGTGTAGAGTTTACAAGAGAAGGATACTTGGTCATCCAGAACGAGATGTATACCGCTTAAGATGCTTTCAAATGTTGAACTCAAATCTGCGTTCCTAATCTGCGAAACGATCCTGAGAGAAAAGTTACGGAACAGTCTCTCTATAAGTTATACCACTGTGTTGAACGTACAAGCAAATCGAGGAGATCAAGTGTCTGGTGAAGAGTGGCGCAGTTGGTATGAGTTCGGATTAATAAGCATGGCAGAAAAGTGCGGATCCTCGGTGCACGCGCTCTTTTTGTTTTTCCGTGAAACGTGTCCTAAAGCTTGCAAAACGATTTGCGCCTCATATTGACTATCTACAACCAACCCCCACCAACCTAAGAAATGGTAGTCCAAAAAAAGTTCTGCGGCTACCACTGATCAGGTATAAATGCCCCTCTGCTCTGAACACTCAAGACGGGTGTATGTCGTTTGGCGCGATGGGCGGGGTCGCGCCGCCTCAAATAGGCGGCGCGTCCCCGCCCATCGCGCCAAACGACCGCCTCCCCTCAAGACAGTATTACGAAACTTTTGGCGGCCGCATCGTCGACCGAGGGCGGTCGAATGACAAATCTGACAAGAGCCTTTTTGGAAAAATACATTCTTCACCTTAGAGCCAAACTGTCTCCAGTTTCGGAGCCGAAAATGCGTTGAAGCAAGTAAACTGATATCTTTGAAATAATACTGGTGGAACAATAGGAGATCAGTCTGGGTACAAGTATGATAATCCAACAATTATCGAGAATTTCGTTCTTAAATTCACAGTTCACGATAGTTGTGAGTTGTTCAGATAACGACGAGAAATCTTAGAGAATGTGGAAAATAGTGCAGTTGAGACGAAGAAAGCACGACAATCGCTGTTTCGATGTGGAAAAGGTTTCTAGAAACCGTTAAAAAGGGGCTGAAGGAGAATAAGACCTAGAAAATGAAGTACAGGGGTATTTGGACGGGCTATAAATGTGTGCCATTGCCGTGTGGGTCCTGATGCGAACAGCTGACCATAGTAAACAAAAACACCCTCCAAAACTCATCCAGTTGTTAGGGCATAAGTTAACAAAAACACGATTAACAGCAAAATAACCCACATTTCCCCCTCTTGAGGTAGAAAACAAGATAAGGGGCCGCGGCAGCAAAAAGAATAGGGGAGAACAAAAAAAAGTAAAACATCACCACACCACGCTGCGATCAACCGATTGCGCGTGAGTCCTGGTGCGAATAGCGCAAACTGTATCGCCTTGTCACTCTTTCGAAATAACATCAGTCGATGGGCGTGGCATCTGACCGATCCGATGATGCAGCTATAATTATGCCCTAGCTCTTGAGTTTTTGGGTCCGACACCGTAATTTCTGTTACCCTTGAGAGCCACAGGGTAGTCCTATGAGAAAATCCAAGTACAACTTTATCGTGAACTGTGCCTTTAGTGTAAACTTTCTGGGACAAGAGTCTACAGCTCCGCTCAGGACCCTTTCGCCTAACTTCACAGCTTGCTTGGAAGTTGTCCTCTATAGAGGCTTCGTTGCTGATTTTCATCGTTATTAAAAGATCAGATCAGATCAGGTCAGTCCACTCGCTTTGCAGTAGCTATACATGAGATATCATAACTTGTCGAAAATTGGTTGATTTGGAAACTCACGGTCTTCCTCACATTCTCTTAACTTTCGTAGTTGATGTTTGGTCGTGATGAGAAAAAAGTTTTTCATACCCGAAAAAGGGCGGCGAAAAAAGAAGGGAAGGAGGAAACCGGGATGATCTCTGCAACTACCGCACAATAGATTTTTGAGTGTACTTAACAAGCTGTTCACGAAGATCATTCTAGCCGGCATATCGCAATCGTTGGATGAAGCTCAACCTGTGGAGCAGGCCGGATTCCGGAAGGGATGCAGGTGCTTGGACCACAGCCAAGAGGTCGCCATGGTCATCGAACTGTGCCGAGAGTTTAAAATACCTCTTGCCCTTACCTATGTTGACTATGAAAAAGCTTTACATCGTTGGAAAGGACCAGCCCTGGTCGATCAAGGGGTTGCTGCTGGGCGACTGTGAAACTGTTCTAACGACGTCTTTCCCATAGGGAAGGGGGTGAAACAAGGCGACGCCACTCCGCTGAAGCTGTTCACAGCCACGCTGCAGTGGATTATGAAGTTGCTAGGCTGGGACGGAAAGGGCATTGTAGCGCAAAAATGTTTTGCAAGCGTTCAGAACACATTTAACGAAAAGTTAAAAAGAGCACATACTCACCTAAAGTGTCATGCCTTCGAGTCCAATTCCATGCCAGCTACGCCAATGCCTAGATTTTCTGACCTGCTCGGTTCGCTTATATGTTCAACACAGTGGTATAACACAAGTGGAAAACTGCAACTTTTACCTGTAACTGTAACTTTGGGAAACTTTGCTCCCAGAATCATTTCGCATTGTTGGAATGCAGACTTGTGATCAGCGCTCGTAAGCCCCTATGGTGGTGAACACCTCATCTCGAATAGCCACTGCGACCGAATATTCTTTCCTTATTATTTATAAACGCCAGCCATCCCGGCTCAACACAACGAAAAAATAGTCCTTCACTTCATTTGCGTCTTTGGGCAAGTATAATACCAGTAGTACTGTACTGGTCCACAATCCACCTCCTCTCCTCAACTTACCATATGAGTTGCGCCACTCAGCCTCCCGACTAATCGGCTAGAGGTCTCTCAAAGGGAGGGAACCCTCAGTAAAAGAGAACTATGGCAAGGTGAGATAAATCGGTTTTGAAGAAAACGTGAAGATTAATGCTAAAACGAGATTAATGCTAGCGAGGAGGAACGTTGTTAATAGCCGGGTCAGAACTGAACAAACAGCCGTGCTAGAACACGTCACAAAGATTACGCCTAATACGGAAACCCATTTGAAACTTGTAGATACAACCACTTTAAACTTTTTACGATTTTAGGAGGTTGATAATGTTCACTTATATCCGGCTTTGTTGCCAGTTAGTAGAGGTTCGGCACCGCTCATTATGTGATCCTGGTTGCGAGCATTTTGTCGGAGCAACTGGAAAAAATTTTGAACACTTGTAACCGCTTATATTTAACCAATTATCCAATGGTTACAAGCAACTTAAAACGCTTTCAGGTGACCATTTTGGCTTTTAACATCTATTCCCTTAGATTGCTTACTGAAGCAGCTAAATGAACATTCTAATTGCTCAAATAATGAGCAGTCAACTCATTTTAAATTCGAGCTTGCTCATCTTAATTTTAGGAAAACTTCAACTTTCGTAAATTCAAAGGTAACGGAGACTCTTTTCACAAATACTCAAACTTCCCAAACATCAAGAAAGGTACTTAAGTTTTTGTCAACCAACCGCGTCTGTATCCCCTGTTCAGCTCATCCGTGATAGGGAGCGCTGCGAGATCGATCTTGTTGTAATCAGCTCGATAGCCACGCCACGTCGAAGTCGCGGTAACTCCCGACGATTCCTCAAACGAAACCAGTTCACGACTGCTACCATCGTGAGGTTTCCCAGTAATGACATCCTTTTTTTTCAAGGAGTCAGGCAGTTGATGTGAGGTTCCCTTCAACAACGTTCCCATTACCGGCATCCGTACTGACACTGAAACGTTCAGAATTCAGTTTTACTTAAGTCTTATGTCATTTTATGGACGAATTGCGGTGAGGCTTCTGACACAGTTTTTCTATCAACAGGATTGTTGGATAGGATTAACAAGCCTTATTCGTGCCAACGCTTCAATTGAATACTTCTCCTCAACGGCCCAAACGCGTATTGATATTTAGGCTTAACAAAAGTCTTTCTCTGGAGCATCTTTGTCTGGATTTTGATTAAATGTGTATTGCCCTTATGCAAAAGTTGAATGTAACACTCACGTCACACTTTTACTCCTGTAGCTTGCGAAGCGAGGCGAAACCAGGAGGGTTACTTTCGTCACTTATTTGTGCTACTGGTTCAAGAAGTTTTTGGAGAAATCCGTGACGCTCGTAGCGCTCTTCTGACTGCATGCTCAACCTTATGTACAAAACTTCGCACTAATTATGAGGTCAATCTCCATCTAGTATGCCTCGAAATAACCTTTCAGCAATCGAGTTTTTTTCCGAACTGGAAGCATTTCATTAGTTGTTCTTGTAATATTCATATCCTAAGAAAAGGAAACGTTAAAAGACCATATTGAGCATTTGTCACTTTGCGAGTTAATGAATGCAAATGACAGTCCCATGGATCTGCCTATGACCGGCTTTCGCTCAATCTCGACATGGTATAAAAATCATTGATGTAGGTTTTGAAAGGATCTTCATAACTTATGTTCCGGTCAGCCTGACTTTCTTGAGTCTGTCATGTCTAAAGTATGTTTGTAATTCACACACCAAAAGCGAGAAAGCTGGCCTTGAAACTGATGGAGCTCTGTGCCGAGACTGTGAGTCCTGAGTTCCTCAAGGTAATTTATGTGTTTGGAAACACAGAGGTCGGTCAGAGAGTTCGCGGAGTCCCGTTTCAGTGGAAACCACTGAATAAGGTCGCTCGAGGATTAGATGCTTCCCATTAGTCGCGCATTGCCCATGGTATCTATTTCTAGTAGGTTTATGGTAAGTGATGGTGAGGCTCTCCTTTGGCGCTCCAACAAGGGGATTAGCTGTGAAAATCATTACCACTCAAGTCAAGAATGGCACGAGCTCCCTAACCAGCGCCAAGCATTCGAGCGAGGTGTGCCCTTCTCACACTATCCTGAAGATCAGCCTTCCAGAAAAAGGCGCGGATTACAGAGCTCGTGCCATCCGAGACGTAATATGCACAATATGATACATTTATTTGAATGTACTTTTGCGCACGTTCCATGCTAGCTGCTGTCTTCGGCAGTATGCTGGCTATCCATCAAATCATAGCCATGAGCCAATTCTATCGACTCTGTGCGGTAGGCGGCTACAGTCGAAACCGCAGAGGTAGTTTCAGACATGCTCTTGACAATGGTAAATTCCGTCCCAGATAGATGGGCTGAATTGCAGTAGATCAGAATGTTCACTGCCGAATTTTATTACTACTTCGCTCTCTTAATACCATGCCAGAATTGTATTTGTATCTTGAGAAAGAATCGGTCCTCTCCTCGTAATTGAGTATGTTTAAACTGACTAGATAGTGATTCGAATTAAGTGATAATCTCAATTCGGGCAACGCACGCTACTACATCACCTCTATCAACTGTCGTCCCATTGATCGACGAATTTCGCGATCAGGTGTCAGTAACGTCCCGAACGTTCGTTCCTGCCACGGGCCAGAGTAGCCCTGTGAATCGCCCTCGCTCGAGGAACACGGGGCATAGCATTCTTTTCATTCATGGACTTTGAGATGTCTGACCATCGAGCTGGTAATCTTCCTGTTTCATTTGACGTCCCGAGGAATCCAGTCAATAACCGTCTAGCTCCGTCCTCACGATATCGCATGTAATGGCCGGCCCACATGATCTTCGATTCTTTTCCATAAGTGCCCAGTGTCGAAAAGATGAGTGCAAAGTCGGACTTCACTACTCTCTCGGTATTCTCAAATGATCACCGGGCCGCGCGTTTCATCTTGTCCAGCTCCGGAGCGAGTTCTCGACAAAAAGAAGAGCTCAGAAGCCTTTAGCCAAATGCTTTTCCAGTCCTACTTTTCAGTGGTGACCGCCTTTCTACTTGAACCAGTCATGCAAATTCCTACCTAAATAATCGGCAAAGTGTGTCTCTAGGTGTGTTTGTGTGTGTGCGTATGTGTGTATGTGTAAGTGTATGTGTGTGTGTGCGTGTGTGTGTATGTGTGTATGTTTGTGTATGTTTGTGTGTGTGTATGTGGGTATGTGTGTATGGGTGTATGTGTGTGTGCGTGGGTGCGTGTGTGTATGTGTGTATGTGTGTATGTGTGTGT